TGCACGGTGTAAATTTCTTGGCATCAGAGGAGTTCACTTTGTATTTCTAGTAAAAATTCCTCGATTACCAGGCTAATTTTACAAGAAAAAAGGTGAGAGGAAAAGTACAGATGTGTGTGGTTGAGCACGTGAGGCATTTTTTTCTTATTTCATCTCTTTTGCGCTTTAAGGTCGTCCAACAAGGTTTCGGAAAACCTAATAAGCTTAGAAAACCATGAAGGTTGTCTAAGGTTAAAAGGTTGACCACTAAGGCCTTCTAAGTTATTGTATGCAAGTAGTTTGTTTAACTGAGGCAAGTGTTAATACAGAAAATCTAAAATGCAACTCAGAATTATGTGGTGGACCCATAATAAATCCCAAGGCGAATAAATTCCAAGATATTCAAGTTTTGCACTGTGCTAAAGTAGAACTGTTTCTAAATAAACACACAAAATCACTTGCTGACATTGAAGGACAACCTTTTCTAGCACTACAACTGGATTTTTAAGAGATCATCCTGAAGTGCAGAACACTAACAGATTTGTTGTAGTATAAAACACAGTTGCCTGCAAAGAATCGTACCCTAGATGATAGAGGGAGGTCATAAATATAAGTGAGGAAGAGGCCCAAGAACCCAAGGCACAACAGGTAGAACAGGGGATAGAGGTTGCAGCTATTGAGTAAAGGAAAACTAATTGAAGCTGTTTGGTTAAAAATGTACCACCAGCACTGCCCTAAGATAAAAATACAAGGATTAATTTTTGGCCTTGTTTGTATAGCAGTTTTGCAGCTATTTAGCACACAATATACAGACAGGGATATGAAGAAGGCAGGCCATTTTGACATCTGCCTGTGCATTTTGTGTGAGAAGACTGAGAATACATGACCCGGCTATAAGCAGCTACACCACATTCTATACACTATTATTCACACCCTCTATTTGGAGTGACTAGACATCATTGATAAAGTGTGAGTAGTCCTAATTACGAGCATAAATACCAGTGTAGCTATTCGAAGGTAGGTAGTAGCATGATCACAATTCTATGCCAGGGAAGGCATTTCACAGCTATTCACTTATTAACCTATCGAATTCTTTAAAATAGATCAAATCACCAACTAGGTGCAGCTCCCATGCTCATATGAACCTATGCCATCACTCGGGAAACTAAAGTAAACAAGTAGGCAGTATTGAAGGTGTTCATGTAACAAAGCATTATAGGAACTGAATTCTAGTTGTGCAGAAAAAGTTGGTTCACTTACAGGTAGCCAAATACTGAAATGTTGCAAGTGCCAGCTGTGGTGAGATGTTGTGCTTGCCTTGCCGGCCATAGCCTAGTTTGGCGAAATCTGAGAAATCCTGGCGCACTTGAGCTTCTTTTCGTTTTTGCTTTCTTCGGTTATCCACTGCAACAAAATGCGTGTGTGTGTGAATACTTCTATCAACACTGCCAGCTGTAAACACACTTACTTAAAACATCTGTTTCATCAATGATCTCGGCTTGTAATATTTCTTCAATTACATCCTCAAGGGTGACCAAGCCCAGTAGTTCATAGAATGGGTCACCATCTCCTTCTGTGTTCACACGACGAACAAAGGCCATATGGGACTGTCCTGGAAAAAAAAAAAAAAGATAGCCGAGCGGATACAGCACAGGATCAAGGAAGTCAGTTTCACCAAAGAACTTCTAGTGTACTTAAAGCAGAGAGAGAGACAAATAGAACACATTGTTCTGTTAATTGGCAATAGCAGTCAGCAGAGCCAAAGGACACAAGGAACTAGAATGGGAGACTGGGATCATCAAAAGCTGCAAATAGAACAAGGTTCAGTAATAGTATGACAAAGCAAGCAAGATACTAAGGATGACTAGGCTAAAAACAAAATGCAGAAAAAGAATAATACACAATTTACAAGGATGATGCACTGTACTATACTAATATGTGCAATAAGCCTCACTTCTACTCACTGATGAAAAGATTTATAAAATGTTTCAGTTCAGCAAATCAGCACTCACTTTGAATTACTGCTACTTTTAGCCTGTTCCACAAAGTTGATTTTGTTGGTTTGCAATCTATTCAGTAGTGAATAATTTTTGCATAGTTACCTTTCTTAAATTCGTTGAGCAAGTTGACAAGAGTTTCATCTTCGAAGACAAACGTGACGGGATGATTGTAGAACTCACACAATGTCCGTAAAGGAATCTCATCCTCGGGGTCCACAAAAGCCAGATCCTTAATGTTTAAAAGTCCAACGACATTATTGCGGTCACCGTCGAATACTGGAATGCGAGTGTAACCCTGTCCAATGATCTGAGACACTGTTTCGAAGTCTAGAACAGCTGTAACAGGCAGCATAAACACGTCATCCATACGAGTCATGGCCTCATTGGCAGTTTTCTTCTTGAGCTCTAGTGCCCCACTGATGATGTCCACTTCCTCATTCTCTAGTTTGTTGTACTCCTTCGTGAGACGGATGTACTCTATCAGCTTTTCCCGGTCGTAGACATGGCCTATCTCCTCCCCGAGCACCCAGTCGAGGATCTTAGAAATGGGCCATGACAGAGGGAGCGTGAGGGCCATGAACACCTTAGTGATAAACAGCGTGCGTGCACCAATCTGTAAGCCATGTCGGGAGCAGATGGCTTGAGGAATGATTTCACCAAAGATGACAATGCTGATGGTGGAACCGACTACAGCCACCAAACCTGAGGTGAGGTCGTCAAGAAGGATAGTAAGCGTGCTGTTGACAAGCACGTTGCCCAGAAGTAGTGAACAGAGAAGGTAGTTTCCATGGTTTCGCAGAGGTGCAATGACTTTGGCCCATTTGCGCTCACTGGGTGTCCCACACGATTCAATGACGCGCAGCTCTGTCTTATCAAGAGCCATCAGGCCCAGATTAAGGCCACTGAAGAGGCCCGAAAGCAGAAGCAAGCCAGCCAGAATGATGACCTGCACCCAGACGGGCATGAGCCGTCCTTGGGTAACCAACGTTACCCAGGGTTCGTCGCCCTGGTGCACCCACTTGACATCCTCACTAAGGGGCGCTTTGCTGCAGACGTAGTAGCGCACATTGGCGCCCGGAAGGCTCACCAACACTGACGCTTTGCCGCTGCCCACATTAGTGGCGTGGGCCACGGCCACTGTAGGCACCTCGTCGCACGCAGAGCCCCTTGGCGCGGCTTCGTGAGTGAACGCAAACGAACTGTGGTCGGTGAAGCCATTTCCAAACAGTTGCAGCTCGACCGTCGTACCTGCGGGCACCTGCGTCATGCCGGAGTCCAGGGTGGCCACTCGGTCTCCGAAAGCCCGCAGGCCCAGCACTTTCGCCACTTGCGCTGTCTCGCCGTCGTCCAGCCTGCAATGCAACCGGCACGGGTGAGCATGCCGCCGACACCGGCACGGCGTACGCCGTTGTTTGTATCAGCAACAGCGAAAGCATCGAAGGGAAATCAGATACAATCTCGTTACTTGGTGTACTACGCGCTCGGATAAACAACGCTATTAAAATGCCAGCAAGCATTGCCCTCGGTGCGTCGTTTAGAAGCGCGCGCGCATTTGCTATGGCGTCAGGTGGCAAAAGAAACGAAAGTAAGCACACTCACGCGGACAGGTTGCGCCTGAAGCCCGCTCCGTTGCGATCAGTCGAGCGCCTGCCAATGCCCAGGTTGCGACGCATTCTGAGCGGGCCGGCGTGCCTCGTCGGCGCGGCAGCGTACACGAGCCTGAGCGCTTTCCCTTGGTGCCGCCAACTGCCGTGGTTGCGCGTGCACAGGTAGAGCGAGTCGTGCGAGGCAGCCGCGGGAATGACGCACTGGACGACGACATCTCCGCTGCTGTCAGCGCGCACTCGAAGCTGTTTGCCAACGAATTGCTGGCTATGGCACTCCTGACCGTTTTCTAAGCTTTCGCTGGTGAACACAATCTTGGTCCTGTTCGGTACCAGTCCCGTGCCTCGCAGCCGTACAGCCACACGAGAGTTGGGAAAAATTCTGGGAACGCGCACGCTGTCAGAGTCCGTGCAGACAGCTTCGATCCTGTCCACGGTGACAAAATCCTCCCGGTTCGCGAGAGGCTGACCGATAGAAAGCGCGGAGCAACGACTGCAAAGCCAGAGAACTAGAAATCTATGAAGTCCATTTCTAGCAGACGCCATATTACGCTTTTACACCATCAACATTGCAGCAGAATGCAGAGGCGTGCGATGTCGCCACCGTCGGGGATCCGCGCGCGCTCCTCGCTGTCTCCGCGCGCACGCGATTCTCGCAGCTGCTGCTCGCTCGACGCGGCTTGGTGTTGTGATGGGACAGCGCGCGCTGCACCGCATCATGTACACCTGTCCGGCCGCGTCATGCGCGCCTGCTGCGGCTGCGCTCCACTTCGGACGTTGCTGCTAGAGGGCGGGGGAGCAGCGCGTGAGCTCGCCAATCGGGGCGCCGTGAACTTGAACACTGCGGCACGCACGCTGATGCACACCTGTGCATGTTAAGCGACAGAATGAAACTACGTGTTTAATTAAAACTCCAGAAGTTCGTTTTCATCAATACCTGGCCACAGAATCTGTATTATATATGTTTCAAGCTCTGTGCAGCTTTAAAAAAACACAACGCACAGTAATATGACAGTATGAGCTTTATTGCAACACAGCATAATTATATATTACTGTAAATTATGCAGAGGCTCTTTAAGTAAAGACAACCATGAGGACATGCCCTGCTTGTTTTATGACTTCCTATAAGTCATGCTGAACCAACTAGACAAAACGTCAACATTGCAGGGTCTCTCGTTTGAATTTATTTCACTTTTCTAAATTGAATTTTGAAGATTTGTTCACTATCTGGGCAAGTAACTGATGGAGTCTTCAATTTTCTACACTGAGGCATTGCAGTGTGCCACGCAAAACTGCAAAATGTGTAAGAATGCAATAATACACAGTTCATAGCATTTATTTTTCTGGATATCCTCCAAAAGCTCGTGTACAATACCAAATAAAGAACATTTTTTATTGCAACAAGCTTATCTCATCCTCGGGGTCCACACTTGAAAGCCCTGCGAAACTTGAAAGCCCTGCGAAAGATTCACACATCGAAGTTGCTTCGCACTAAACAGGACGATCAGGTACCTCAGCCTTAAAAGAAAAATTTAAATTGTGGGATTTCATTGCAAAAAGCACAATTTGATAATAAGGCATGCCACGGGTATGCATAATCTGAGTAAATGAGTGTTCTTGTACTTCACTGGCTGCCATTGTCGGGATCGTACTTGTAACATCCAGCGTAGCCCTGCAGCGCTAGAGCCACTCAGCTACCATCACAGGGCAGCCTCATTTTCACCAATAGCCTTTCGTGCTGAAAAACAATTAGATACCCTTATGAAGTATAAGATTGGAATAATTGTACAGCACTGACACTCACTGCTACTACCATGCATAGCTTGACAACTTAGATCGCAACATACATCAATAGTAGTACACTTTAAACTTACAAAGAAATTAATTTTTTGAATGCTTTACAAAAAATTATTTGGATAATTATTTTTTTTTTGTGTGCACATGATCATTTGCCAGAGCATATTACTTTGAAAAGAAACATGAAGTTAGCTGAAATGTTTTGATATATGACAGATTTATACATAACAGTGTAATTACCATATGTACTTATTTACATCTTTTTAGGTTTCACAAATAATTGATCACTTTACTTACCCAGAAATACTCACTGAAGTTCAATTACTTGTTTATGTAATCAGATAGATGTAATCAGTTACAATAATGAGAAAGATATATTAGCTAGGTAATGAAATTGTGGTCACTTGAATTAGGTGACCCATTAATAATAATAATACCAGGTGTTTCTTATTCCAGAACTACAATATGATTGGGAGGCACGCTGTACGAAAGGGCTGCAGATAATTTCAACCACCTGGATTTCTTTAATGCACGATGATATTATTGTACACGGTCTTGTTGTATTTCGCTTCGACAGAAATGCGACCGCCATAGTTCAGGGTTGAACCCACGTCTTGATTGGGTCAGTAACTAAGCACTGTAATCACTGTGGCGGCCAGCAGTCGTGCTGTTAGCAGCTTTTTGACAGTGCGTGTTAGGACATTTAAACTTGTGTTTGTTTGCTCTTAGTGCTTCACCGAATGTTGACCAACTCATTGAACCAATGCTGCTACCACTATGGCTTGACAGCAATGGCCACCTCATTATTCCACGGGCTCTATACTAGGAGTGCCTTTTGCAAGCTGTAGCAAATGTAAACCACTGTACTTGATATATGGCCAGGATATGAGCTTCCTCCCGGCAATGTCATCTCAATTTTGTGTATGGCGTTCATGTACATTACCACACCCCTCTTTTCTACAGGGCGTATATAAAGCCAGCTTTGAGTGTTGTTACTAATGATTGCAAACACTAACCAGGGAGTTAAGAAAATTTTGAAAATCAATCATCTCTAACGATGATCAAGGTGTGATGAGCTGCAGAACATAGAATAAAATAGCCGGGCCAATGTGTTTTACTGACTGTATAGTCGGGAAGGAAGTAATGTAACAATCAATTTCATTTTGGTGATTTCTCATTTACTTTCATGGGGCACTATTCAGTCACTGTAACCAATTAAAATTTTTGTAGCAAGTAACTGTAATGGTAATTGCTTATTTTATTCTTTAACATACACAGTTCGAAATGAGTTTTTCTTTTTACATTGTATGCAACTGACAATTGTCCAATGTTTTTCTAATTATGAATCATTCAAGTGTGTCTTTATTGAGGGTTATGTTTTTGCTATAAAATTAATGCTATGTTAATCTGGCTCTATCTTGCATTAAACCTGGACAAATTTGACTTGGTGCTATTCTTGAGACATGAAACTTAAAATGACTAAATACAATTTTTTTCATATCATGCCTTTCACATACCAAATAGGCACTCCACTACTGCTCACTTAGCCATTTGTGCATCACTACCTTAAAGCTAAGATGTTTCCTTAATATTTGCAGAACAATATAGGATGACTTAATAAAATGGCTAACATCTTTTTAAAAAAATTCATCACAACAGATAGCGAGAAAAAAAGTGGCACATATATGTACAGCTGTCTTTATAGCGTGGCATAAAAAGTGGTACATATATGTATTGCTGTCCTCAGGGGGTAGCAAAAAAAAAAATCCGAACAGGCACAATTTTTATATATATAGTGGTGCTGTTTACATATTGAATTACTTTAATCATTGAATTCACAGCAAAAGTTGGTATTTTCTGCACAAATAGCTACTGCATGTGCATTCATCCTAAGGACATGCGAAGTTGACCTGCAACAGGTGTACATCAGCCAACACGATTTCGCGACTACAATAATTAGACGCAGCTAAAAGAGACTGCGATTGATACCGCTTGTTCAAATAAAAGCTTTGCTACAATCAACATAAAAATGCTGCCTATGTGCAACGGTAATATAGTGATAACTGGCCTTTAGGGCTAAAACCATCAGCCAAAATGAAGGCCAAAAATGGTTCATTGAAGAAAACTGAACACTGACGACAGAAAAATCTCTGACTGCATTACAAGTGAATCGCTAGGTTCTGTTTATTAAACAGATAAAATGAGACACTTCACAGATGTGTTGCAGCGATTTTTTTCAAGGCACTCATTTAGGCCACTGCAGGACATAGCGAGAAGTATTGGAGGCGTGTGCAAAATCAGATTTGCTGTCCGTGCTACATGTCGTAATGAAGTAAAAGCTTGAAATAGCCTTCTTTTATAGCTTGGTAGATGGTACCACCAGTAAGAGTGGTATCAAAACTTGACCATGTTATATTATAGGTGTTTGAAATGCAGTGACAAAGTGGTACACATTTGTACTACTGTCCTACAAGGGGCTTAATTATTTTTTTACACGTTGTTTCTCAAGCAATGTTCTCAATGACACCTTTTGAATTGTTATATTGATCAAATGGCTACTAATCAATATAAACATTATGACCAAGCTTTGCTACAATATCAGACTGTTTAGACAGTTAAAACATGCACCATCAATCTGAGACTGTTCTATTGATTTCTACATTATTTGTCGCCAAGTGCCATCTTTCAAAATCATACTTTTCTTTCGTCAGCATAGACCCTGTAAATGTCTAACATCTATCACTGGTTACCACTGCAAAGCTATGAATCTTGTAACCAGCTCTGCTGTCACATTTTCTTTTTATTATTATAGTGCAACAGTTATGAAATCCAGCTTCATGCGTCCACAAGTAGTGCCAACACACACGTTTCTTTCAGTCAAAAAGCAAGTATACATTCAAACTAGGTTTTGACACACCCTTTCTTCATCACCAATGTCATCTCAATTGATACAATACCATAATTATAGTAATCTTCTGTGAGCAGGGGTTGTTGAGTTTACTCTCGTAGCATCAACTAATGCTTTGTAATGAAAGGTAAAAAAAAATACAATGATGCCGGCAAAGCAACACAACATTCCTTCTCCTTTGTTTTGAATTGGTTTTATCATTTCTAGAGTGCACAATGAAAGTGCAGTGCTCAATATTTCATTCAAAGCACTCAACAAGAAATGGAAAAATTTATTCATAAACAAAATCTCAAGGCAGTATTAAAGAACATACTGAAATTGGTGCAACACAAATGTTCTGACTAGGATAAAGATGATGACAAGATGAATATGTTAAAGGGGTCCTGAAACACTTCTTTAAGTAACCATGAAATAGGTTCACCAAAAAAGCGTATCGCCTCACGAATTGAATGCTGTAAAAACTACAAAAATTCATCCAGTACGAATGGAGCTACAAAGATTTGTCGCATGCTGTAATCGCATTCTCTCTTATGTTGTCTGGCCGAAGGTACTGCAAGCTAAGCAGAGGGGGATGGCATGGGTAAAGAAAATACGACAGCGCACCTCGTGACCTTTTGACCACCTTTTTTTTTTCTTCGAATACGTTTTTTTATAGGTGTGACAGCGCGCACGCCTGGACAAGTCGCGACCTCCCGCTGCGATCCTTGTCACAACCGAGCACCCATGTTCAAATAAGCCAATGGCTGATAGATGGCTTTCTACGAGTGATTTTTGAGCTTTCTCAGTAATTTGTCGAGAGAAGAAAAAGCAATTTTCAGCTGACTTTGATAATTTATGGTGAATTCCAGGTCGCATGCTGTGCTAAAATATTTAGCTTGCATGTTCTTGGGAGCCTCTACTGCCAATTGGCAGTGTTTTCTGACCATGCTCAAAAAGTGTTGAAAGGCCCTTTTAAACAACAAATGACCAGCCAGTGCTTTGGCACAATACAGGGCAGCATTAGACAACTGTACATTGCAACCTCTAGCGTTAACTCCTTGAAGGAACAACAACCACCTTGTAGTTATTATCTTGTAGTGCATACAGCACAAAAGTTGTTCTTTTAATCTCGAATAGCAGACTGCACACTTTCTCTGCGAGCGAAAGCAACTGTTTTTTACACCTGGGGTGCTTTTCAACAAGGGCAGTGACACTGCTTTCATAACTGCGCCTATCGGCTTCCATGTTAAGCAGAGCAACTGCTGATCGCAGTACATCTCCTGTAAGCTCAACTGCTATCACGTCTATTACAGAAACCCTCCCAAGAAACCCTTGAGCCAATGGTGCCAGTTGAGTGGCAATCTGAGATTCATACCTCCGTCTGTTGCTTGTTGATATTTTTTCAGCTACACTAAAGACAATTCGTATTGTTGGTCCACTAAGATTGGTGTCTTGCCTTGTTAATTCAGCCTGGGGAGTTTTATCGAAAAGTTCGCAAAGCTCAGACACAGAGAGTCTTTTTTCAGTAAAGCGGTCTTTTTCGAGGCTTCGCAGCCTCAGATAACCAGGTTCAGCTTCTTTAAAAAGGACAATATGAGGAACAAAGTTTTCTCTGCAAAAGGAGGAGGCCTCTTCAAGACCATCTTGAGGTGCAATGACTGTTGGAACACCCATGCTCCACAGCCGTGCTAAAAGTGCAAGCTGCTGGTCTCGTAGTGAAGTGGATATGTCACTCATGTTCCCAAGAACACATTCGACTAAGGATGGTGTCTCACCATTTTCAGCCAGTGCTTGCACGATTTTTTCAATAGAAAAACTGATTCCAACAGCAGCTAGGTCTCTCTTTGCACCAGCCACGGCAAAAGAAGCCACTAGTTTGTCATAACGGCCACCCACAGCCAACAAATCCCGGCCTTGACGACGTGTTTTTCTGTGTGACTGGCAAGCAATTTCAAACACAATGCCTGAGTACATACGCTCATCACAAACAAGACAAGGCACGATAGTGACCGGTAGTTGGAATGCCAGGACAGAGGATGACTGCAGCACTGCCTCAAGATCACACAAAGCCTGCCTAGCGAGTGCAGCTGCAGGGCCCTTCTGGCGTACCACGAACCGATACATAGAAGATACCTTAGCTAAATTGTCTTCAACTTCATAAAACTGGGTCAGCAGTGCTATAGCCTGATCCCCCAGGTTCACTGCATCAAGTTCCTGCTGGAGCTGTACCTTAGAAGAAGACTGAACAGTACGCAATGCTGCAGATATTTGTGGCCACTTACTTTCAGGTACACCACAATGCATCAATAAGGAATGCAGAAGGCCTGTGTGACCTAAGCGTATGTTATATCCACGTGCTTGCAGCTCAGGGAACTCTGCTACTATTTCACAGCTAATGTGAAGCACTTCCGCACAGTGAATTAAGGCACTTGGATGGCTCGAACAAACAATGTCAAATGCACATTCATGCAGTTCTCGTGGATGACAACCAAATACCTTGCGGGAACGATATACCTTTTCAATTGCATATCGCCTCAGTGATAAGACATCGCCACGTCTAGCTATATAACGAGCAAATGGAACCCTCATGTTGTGAGGCAATGACACTATCAATCCTCCATGGTCCATGAAATGAACCTTATTGTCATCATCTTCACTGCTTGGGCATTTTGGAAGAAGTGTTGGAATGACCACTGGCATAGCACCATGCTTAAAAAGGACGTGCTCTAGAGAAGTCCTTACACGGCGGAAAAGCAATGCCGACTGAGGCAATGGGTTGCTCTTGCGCATATCTACATCATAGGCATAGTCCTGGACAATAGTAGCCTCCTGTTGGAACAGTGCATTAACCAAATGCTTATAAGCTTTACTTTGTGGATTGGAGACAGTGTGATTAAGCACTTCTGTAGCTTGGGCCTCCTGCAAGTGTGGTGGTGGCAACTGGGGTGAAGCGAGCAGTTCTGCTGCGCTAGGCCGTTGTGATGGGTCATGTTGCAGCAGCCAGCATATCAGGCCTACTTGTTGGCTGCTGAGGAAGTCGCAGGCATCAGCAGGAAGACTGATGCTGGGAAGTCTCAAGTTCGCCAACAATTTGACTCGTTCCATTGCAGTGTTAGGTGCAGGCCAGGACATCTCAAAGAGAATAATGCCTAGGCTATAGATGTCTACTTTCTGGCTGTACACAACACGGCCACCTGTTGAGACAAAAAGTTCAGGTGCTGTGTACAGAGTGGTGCCCACACGGCCCGTCAAGCTGCCAGTTGTGAGCTGGTCAATGTGTTCTGGTACTTCAGATGTTTCTACCCTTGATATTAATGCTGTGGTTGCCAGTCCAAAGTCTCCAATTTTGACATGGTCACTAGAGTCGAGGAATATGTTGACTGGCTTTAGGTCTCGATGTATCATGCCTTGCTGATGAATGTGCGCTAATCCTTCAATGACCTCTCTGAAGAGACGCCACATTCTACTCGGCTCCCTGTGGAGGCCATTATCAATTGCTGTGCGCAGAGTGCTCTTTTCACAAAATTCCATCTGAATGAACATAAACTGTCGTGTTTGGGCCACAGCTGCTGGTTCTTCGGATACCTCTGATTCAGCTTCCCCGCTACCTTCAAATACAATATTGTCACTTGATGAGGAGTCACCAAAAGCACACCCAAAAACATTATCTGAAGAACTTGAGTCTTCTGCATTGCCACCTGGCATGCTCCACTCATGTGAAGTACCCTTAGCTGACTCCGTACTCACACCTGAAGATGCCATAGTTTCAGGAACTTGCTCCTGCGTTGTGATTTCAATCCAAGAGTTATAGTAACGCACAACATTCTCATGGTTAAGTCTTGATAAGAGTTTCACTTCTCTCATTATTTTCCGATTAAGCACTTTGCTAGATGGGTTAAGTTGAATGCGCTTGATTGCATAAACACAACGATCAAGCTTGTTGCGCACTTTAAAGACATCTCCGAATCCACCTCTTCCTAACCATCTAAGCACTTCAAATTCTCCTTGGAGGCGTGAATTACCTGCAGAACTAAGTGCACAACTACCAGACTCATCTGGTCCTTCATCATCAAGAGGCTCATTTTCAACACTTGGACCTCTCTCCATAAGAAAGGGGTGACTTAAAAGCTGCTCACATGACCATCGGTCTTGTTCTTGTGTAGCCAAGCAATGCTCCAGGAAATCTCGACAATCCAAGGAGAGACTGCTAGGTAAATCTGTACTGGTTGCATGTTCTCCACGAAGCAAGGACAGAAGAACTTTTCCAAACAGCAAAATGTCATTCTTCTTTTTAGATTTGCAGGCAGGTCCTGCCTCATAGGAGGCTGGTAGACACAAATCTACAATTTTCCTTGGTATGCTAAAATCAGCTACCTTTACAACACCAGAGCTGTCAACAAAAATACTAGATTCTTTGAGATCCTTGTGCACAACAGAGTTGCAGTGGAGGTAATGCAATGCCTGAAGGATGCCAGTTGTGTAGTTACGCAAGAGGGCCACATCAAGCGGAATGCCTTGAGCTATGAAAGAACTTAATGGGCAGCCTTTAACGAATTCCTGCAGTACATAAAAAGTTCGTTGCTCAGGAATATACAAGCTACCTAAGTAGTGGACTAGGTTTGTATGCTTTAGTTTCATAAGCGTTTGTAGCTCTTGCTCAACAGTCGCCACATGATAGTCTGTTTTCAATGTCCACTGTATAATACACACCAGTTCACCTGTAGTCGAGTCAAAGCCGCCGAATGTACTGTGTCCCCGATCACTGTGACCAAGGCAAGCACCCTTTTGCACTGTGTACTCAGCAGACTTTGAGAAGAAACTGAGCAGCTCAGGTTTATGCACGCAGTTGGTGCGCTCTTTACTCTCAGAGGCCTTGGAATCAGTGCGCCTCCTCCTGGCTTCCACTTTCATCTCCTCACGATGACGCAATATCTCGAGCTCAAAAGCCTGTCTCTGTTTTTCCTCTTCTATCCGTTGCTGGTTTAGCTGTTGCTGCTGCTCGCGCGCCTTCTCCGCCTCCTGCTTCTCTTTATTTTTGAGCATTTCGTCGTAAAAGGAACCACGTTCGGGAGTGTTGTGCTGACGAAGAAACCACTGCACATGCTGGGCAAGCTCAAGCACCATGACCTCCCCAACGAGTTGTTTTGTCAGCTGTTGCAGTTCCTTCCGAAGTTCTTCCAGGGCTTGCTTTGACAGCCCCTTTTGATTGCACACGTCCACATACGGCACATCGTTCGGGTACTGGCTACTGCACCTGACGTGAAGATCCACTTGCACGTGCGCTTGGAAGGGTGTCATACTCTGCTGAGGCCTTAGAGTGATCAACAGCTCGGGCGGACGCCACATTTTCCATTTGTCGTTCTTCCGCAAGTCCTTCACGTCATCCAGAAACATCGACTGTAGCACTTTCATCTCGTTCTCCTGACGTTCCTTGAGATCTTCCTCTTCCATCTTAAGCGCTCACAGCAATGGCCTCACATTTGATTGACCGGCAGCAATTCAGGGGTAGCATGCCAGAGCCAGTGCAACGCACACTAAGCCAATTCAGTGTCCCCCGTACATGATTTTGAAGTGACAAAGGATACTGCAGCACATGTCAGTCAAGTTTTGAACCACACCACGCACGAGCGCTTTGTACGCAAAATAAATTCAGCGCCTGTTTTCACGTCCAAAATTGCGTCACACTCACGTGAGGAGTTGGCGCGGGAACTTCAAGACGTAATAAAGCAGCTGGTTGATAGTTCATATGCGTAGTCACTCACAAAAAACGCTTAGAATGAGACAAGGCAACACAATCGAAACACGAATTATTAAACGCAAATTTTATGCAGTAATTAATTGTCATTTGTATGGTACAAATGATCCCAGGTGCCGTGCAAATGAAGTACGTAGTCCTTACATTTCTGATAAATCAGTTTGTAACAATTTTTTTCCAGCTTACCGGTAGTCTTTTGCCTAACCAAAAAGTAAATGCATGATGTATCTTGAGAGCAAGGAAGTATACATTTCTAAAGGTGTGCTGGATTACGATAATGATAATATAAAAATGAAAAAAAATCAGGCATTAATTTAACGTGCCCAGGAACAGCCGGAAAGTCATTGTTTTTGCGCACACAGCAATAAACTACTAGCAATAAAAACGACAATAAAAAAGTCTGCTGTGGAAAATGCAAACAAAAAGAAAGGGGGGCGGGACTAAAAAAAGCAAAAACAAAATGAGAAATATAGATGAACAAAGATAAATAAAATTACATACAATAATGCGCAAGGTAGGCTCAAGCAGCTCGAAGGAAAACGAAACTGGGAGCTATGCTAAACATCAGAATCAGGAAAATAAGACTTATATAGAGACTGTTTTGCTGTAAGCTGTAGAGTGTTGAAAGAGGCAGGCAGGTACATGAAAAGGTCTATGTCTCTAATTATCTTACACAGAATTACAAAAACAAAACCGCTTGATAGCTAGGTCAAAGCAGGTTATAATACCCTGAAGAAGCTTGGAAAAAATATATCAGCGTGATTTCGTCGTCAGTTCAATAGAGTGGAGGTAATGACTGGAGACCAGGTTATAGGCAAATGGCTTTTGTTTCGTGCGTTCCTATCGTGCCATTTTGACATGTGAGCACGAATTAAATGGTAAGAAGAGCTTTTATAGTGTTTTTGTAGTGCCTATATATGCCTATTTTGGACATTGGTGCCTAAATTATTATAAGTGTCTATAAATACATGTTTTCAAAATCGGTGCCTATATAAACGCTATTTAATTAACCTGAAATTTAGCTTTCAAGTACTGCTGGAGTGCAGTGATCATGTTACCCGGCAAAATTGAGCTTTCGGAAAACTATGGAGTGCAACCTATACTGTACATCATAAATTACTTTCAGCACTATCAAGCCGACAGGGTCTCTTAGCTAATAGGAAGGTTGAGCAGCTCCTACACATGTATTCATCCACGTCGAGTCGTCTGCTCGGCATCTCTCCGGTGTCTGCTCGCTTGCGTAGGAAGCAGGAGGTGCTTCTGTGCAGCAACAGAACGATTAAGAACGAATGTGAAACCGGGGAGGGTCATCAGGGGAAAGTAAAGCGTAGATTAAAAAAAAAATACGATATCCGTGTGGTGTTTGCTTTGTCATTTACTTCTTAAATGGCGCTTCACTACGTCACGTGAGAAATTTTACTTAGACAGTGGAAGTTGTTGCGTGCCCAATGAAAAACTCTGTATCACTTTAATTTTTTTTAAATGGTTCATTACAAGCTGCAAAAGCATGATGTGGGGATGTGAGCTTGAAACCTTAGCCACTCACTCGATGTGGACTTCGCATGCTATTTTTTTTTTCCCTGCCCTATTTGGTATCCGAGCAACTCGTAGCTGGAGGATATACCACGACGTGGACGCACCAGAACGTCATGCGTGCGGAAGGTTAGCTTCGCATGACATGCCCTTGCCTGGCCGCGCACGCAGGCGCTGCTCTGTCTTTTCGACGTTCTCTGTATTGTACTACCTGTTTCTGTATGGATAGATCTCTCCATGTGTGCATGTTTGAAAAGGCTGCCATGGATCACGTATGCGTACCACGATACACAGCATCGCACCGCTGGAGCTCCTCTGAAGGACGATGCACCAAAAACACGCCGAGCGTTGTGAATGCTGGCACCGGCACTATGCGAGAACGGCGAGAACACCGACGCAAACGAAATGAAGACAACTTAGTCTCGCATCTCGCTCGATATGAAGATGAAAAAAAAAAACACTCACGCGCATAGATTCTGTTTGTATGTTTTAATATTTCTGTCAACCTTCATTCAGACAACAGATTGCAAAAAAAAAAAATACACACATTGCCTCGAATAATTCGCGCAGTGCCACGTACGCAGGACCATTCCTTGTTGTATACATCACCTTCATCATGTTGAGGCGCACTCCCGTGAAATGAAGGTCAAGTGGTGTTCAGTCTGACATTTTGCCTCTCTATGATGTGCGTAGCACTGCAAATCTTGGCAGACGAGATCGTGAGCGCCCAGTGCATGCATTCCTCTTGGCTTCTCGAAATTCTCAAACCTGCATAAGGGCCCTCTAAGGTGTTCACAGACAGAAGGAAAAATGAGCCTCTGTGATTACACCAAGTTAATACAAGGCGAAAAGATTCTTCTGGCCTATTGCGCCCTGGCTATTTGTACCTGTGTAGCCCTTCTCAGCTATGCCGAAAAGAGAGAGATCCAGAAGCATGTTCATTTGACGGTGGACACTCAACTCACCATGCTGAATTAGAAATGGCGAGACCGTATTCTTTGAAGCCTGCGAGGAAAAAAAAATACATGGCTGTGCTAAATAATTACGCCTGTCTACCATCATAAACTAAAACATTTTGTTTGCTTTCCTGTCGTAGGCACAGATCCCACAAGTATTTCTTCGAAAGTTTGAATTGTGTCAAAGTTTATTGGGCCTCTATTTACGATTTTGGAAGCCTGAACCACTGTTTTGCCCGCCTACTTTAGAGCGCCTAAACCCCGTTTTTTTTTTTCAGTGCCCATAAATCTGGCCCCTAGGAATGACTATAATCGAACAGTGCTGTAACGAGACACAGAGTCATTCTAGCGAAGTGAATAGTTCTATATACGGTAAGATTTTTGTCTACATCAGCTCGATGGAGTTACTGCTGGTTTTAGAGATGCCAGATCACACGCGCATATTGAAGTTGAGGAATGCGGATTCTCCACAAACTGTACAGTTCTCGAAGAATTGAAATCTGTCGATAGCCTGCAAACAGAGCCGAGAGAATGAAGACCACGCATAGCAACGCTTAGTGGGAGCAGAATGCGTAAGGTGATATAATAATAATAATAATAATAATAATAATAATAATAATAATAATAATAATAATAATAATAATAATAATAATAATAATAATAATAATAATAATAATAATAATAATAATAATAATAAGAATAATAATAATAATAATAATAATAATAATAATAATAATAATAATAATAATAATAATAATAATAATAATAATAATAATAATAATATCCCGTTGCAATCGTGTACTTTGGGACCCTCGTCTGTATATTTTACTCCCTGTAACATCTTTTTATGACATGATAATAAACTGATTGATTGATTGATTGATTGAACAATAATAGACGGACCACCAGACTGCACCGGCCTAATCCGTTCACCTTTTTTACACACAGAAATCACCCGAGCACCAGCCGACGATGTACAGGAAGACTGAGACCTGCACTCGTCCCATCATTTCTGTCCGTTGGTGCGCTGTTGATTGAAAAAAAAAAAATCTTAGATGTTCCTTCTTTACGCAATTGCTCGTCGTTCTGATACTGCAGTCGACTCGCTGCGGCGAGTCTGCAGCATCCCCCATTCAGACATTCGGCGATGGGAAAAATCCTCGTGCCATTGAGCACACTGGTGCAGAACGACGCCTCCAGCGCCGCACGCTTTGTGACAGCAGCGGGCTGCACTGAAGCTCGAATCGGCGGCTGCCTGCCGGCAAGGTTCGCATCAAAAAGGCGCACTCCGAGGCCGCTCACGCGCAGGGCATGGCAGGATTGCAAAAAAATACATTCATGCAAGCACCTGATTGATATGTGGGGTTTAACGTCCCAAAACCACCTTATGAATATGAGAGACGCCGTAGTGGAGGGCTCCGGAAATTTCGACCACCTGGGGTTCTTTAACGTGCACCCAAATCTGAGCACACGGGCCTACAACATTTCCGCCTCCATAGGAAATGTTCATGCAAGCACCTAACCTGTCAACCTTTCTTAGCGGAGAAAAGGTCGTGAGAAATCTTTTCAGTCAAATTAGTCGAATGACATGTTTTTTGTTTTGTTTGGTTTTGATGAAATTCCCAAGGCTGCTGCGTTGAGCTGCTATGTGAATGTGTTCGCATTTCAAAACACTATTGCGATTTTCAAATATAATATAAATATAACACTATTGTTATCATGTGGTTACATTGAAAATAACCTGGATCCTGATGTCGCTACAAGTTCGATAATTATACCTGGGGTTTTGCGGGCCAAAACCATTCTTTTTTTTTTTTTGGAAACTACTTAAGTCTTTCGTCTTAAGTGGGCCCCCAAATGCAAAGCAGCTGGCCTACAAAATGCTCGTCAGGCCAGTCCTGGAGTACGCCAATATTGCTTGGTTTTCGCACACAGAGGAACTTAATACAAGAATGGAGGTGGTGCAGAACAAGACAATAAGGGTCACCTATATAATGAATAGACGTTTACGGATCATCCAACTGATTACTAAAGAAAGCTGGTTCATTAGCACTCAAGTCGGACGAAACTAGGGAGACTAACCCCCGTATTCACAAACGCTCCTCGACTCGACTTTCACCATTCACTTGACAGAGTTGCGCACTGCGCCGCTGCTCGGCTGAAAATGACGCTGCGCTACTCAAAGATAGCAGAAAATTATCACTGATATGCAGTTATTTCCCTGCCTCGAGATGGCGCTCCCATCGGCTTTCTCTAGTGAAGGTGGGCTTTCTCTAGTGAAGGTGTTCTCTAGAACACGGGGGTAAAGCTTTCGTTTCAGTTAATTCATGGCAACGTAAACGTTCACACGTTAATTTAATTCAATCGTTCTACTGGC